TGATGTAAAAATTCCGAACCAAAATGTCACTACGACAATGCGCGGCGCCGCACTTTCCGTTGGCTCTCCTCCGCAGACTTTGGCCTTTCTACCTCAACTGTGAGCTTGCATTGTACCAGATTAGAACTCCTGACTGACTTCAAATAGGAACCTGAACAATACTTGGATATTCGATTCCCATGGATTCTGCTATGATGGCTCCACAGAAGCATATTGCCATTCATACCGCGGAGGACAATTTGAGGAGGACGAGTCAAGCACCCTTCGCATTGCGAAAAATCAGACTGCTGCTGGTGCCACTCCAGGAGATGGTACAACTCTCAAGAACCAGTCATGGGCGATCGACTCGATTCAACTCAACTCAAACACCTCGATCAACAATTTCGGCTTTGGCGTTGCGGGGATGGACTGGGGTGGGAACATCCATTCCCAAAACACCATCGGACTGGCCCAAAACTCATCTCTTCTCTGGGCCATGAGATCGACGGGCAAGATTGGGTCGCTGACGTGGTCATGGTTCTGGGGCCTGGCTGGCTACGGCGAGGGAGCAAGAATGGACGGGTCGCTGGTCCTGGGAGGCTACGACGGAGCCAAAGCCAAGGGACGAAACTACACTAACCACATCAACCGATTCGGCAAATGTCCCACGGGCATGATCGTGACCATGTCACAGATCATCCTAAACTTTCCAAACGGCACCACCACCGATATGCTCAGACAGAACTCTGTCAGCGCGTGCTTGCTTCCGGACTTTCCGCTGCTGATGCTCATCGGGTATGAGAATGGACCTTATCAGCATTTCGAGGACGACACCCAGACGCATTGGCTCAATGTCCCCGGTCAGGAGGCCGCGCCTTTGAGATCTTTCGGAGTTGACTTCTGGGGGATGTTGTACTCTCCTGACAATGTGTGAGTACGGTACTTCCTCAACACAACCCACTATACTAACATCAATCAGTTACGAAGGCGACATGACCATCATCCTCGATTCCGGCCTGGCATTTCGAATCCCAAACGACCAATTCATCGTGCCAGAAATGAAAATCGACGACAACGGCACCGTTTACTACAACACCAGCGTCCGAAACGTCCTCATCGGGGCGAATCTGCCTCCAAATGATCAAGATCTCCCCGTTCTCGGTCGCAACTTCTTCTCTTCTGCATACCTCATGGTCAACTCGGAAGAAGAAACGTTCACACTCTGGGCCGCCAATGCGACCGAGGAAATGGACCTGGTCCCAATCACAAACCAAAAAGCCGTTCAAACTTGCGGCTTCACGTCCTCGGCGACTCCAATCCGGACGGCGACCTCAACATCCCGTAGTACTTCGACCGCCGAAAGCACAGCAACCAGCATCCCCGAAGTCCGCTCCATTTCCGCCGGTACCATTGCCGGCGCAGTCATCGGCTGCATCGCCGTGCTCGTCGCAATCTGCGTTGGCGTTCTCACATGGTGGCGCAAGCGCAAATATCGCGACCAGCACTCCGAAGCGATGAAAGAGATCGCAGAGGCGTATCGGCCGCACGGACAGGAGGCGTGGCAGACGCGGTTGAATCGGCTCCCGCCGCAGGAGTTGGGCGGCGAGCATAGGGTGTTGGAGATGGAGACGAGGGGGAATTTGGTGGAGATGGAGGGGAATCATAAGAGGATTACGCAGGAGATGGAGGGGGGGTATCGGGTTTATGAGTTGCCTTGATGGAGTTGGAGTGTTGGTTGAGCTTTGTCGAGAAGGGAGTTCAGTCGCATGTTGTGATGTGGTGACGCCGACCGATAGTGGACACGAGTCGGACCATGGAAGCTTCGCAACCGTCCCGAGATAATTCGGAGCTTTGCTCCGTCCAACACAACCCAGGACATGGCATCACTGAAAGACGATTTATACGACGCTTCGACAGGGTGACGAGACCCTCCGCGCCAGTTTTGCACAAGCCTTGCATCTCCAACCGTCGGTGGGATCCAATATTTGGCATGCCGGAATGAAAAGATCGAGCTTTTGTCGTTTGGTTGCACAGACAATGAAGAAGCGATGCGTTGTGGTGTCTCCATCAGTCCCGAGATATTTCATCACCACGAGATGGGGGGCAAGAAAGCCAGTCTGATAGATAAACCGAAGGAGGGAGACTATGCGATTGCGAGGGAGAAGACAGACAACATTTTTGCACTGTGCAAGGTGCAACGCCAAGTCGAAGACATTGGTTCACTGTCTTGGGTGAAAGTTGGGAGAGATGTTGACGAGGCTGTAAAAAGTTTGTTAGTTTCTGAACTCTTCTTTACCACTGTTGTGCAGCCTGTACCTATTACTTGCCAAGCGTCGAGTTCATGTGAGAAGTGCAGCCACCCAATTTGTTTCTCTAGATCTATCTGAGAACAATCAAAGATCGCCAACTTGGAGTCGACCGTAAGTACCGTAACATCTTCCGCTGTGACATCGCCCGAAACATGTCGGTGTGCAAAATACGGCATGGCCAGACGATCAGAACGGGCAACTCTCTCATGATGATCCTGCCGACCAATAGGAGGGGCTAGGATGTCGTTTATCTTGAGTTGAGTTGATGATCTTTCCTTCCGAAAGCTCCGCTACACGACCGACCTGGGGCCAACGAACAAAGATGAAGTGGATCGAAAACAACAGCACTGAGGACGAAGGATGAGCTGAGAAACGTAATCGACACCGTCATTTCTAAAGGAATGAAACGGCAAAAGCTAAGAAATGGATTGAACGCATTCATGGAAACAGTATGTTTTAAACCACAAGAACATTAGCGTAGAAAGAAGACAACACTGTCCAGAATCAATTCCTGATCCGCTTCAAGTTCATCGATCTATTTTGGGTTGTCCAGGGGTCCAAACATTAAAGAGCGTCATCAAAAAGCTCGGATATGATTGGACGAACGCAACTTCAAAGACATTTGCTGATTGATCTCCGCGCAAGATTCCATTGGCAAAGTTGGCGATAGTTCGGAACAGCAGGTGAACATCGTGCTCGTCGTGATTCCGAGTCTGGGCCAGGATGTGCGCGGCACGGGTGAACTACAGTGGAATTGAGCTTGGATAGACCTTGCTTTCCTGTTGGCCAACTGCTCCTCGTACTCGTCTGTCGGTATAGACTATTTCGGTGGTGGTTCAATGATTGAAGTCCAGAGTAGAAGGGCGAGCGGGCGATCTTGGCCGGTGCGTGATGACTCTCCAGATTCGATGATTCACCTGAGTAGGATATCAGCCTTGAAGATCGTCTGCATGATATCGTGGTTCGCGAACATTTGCTTCAGGCTGGTCTGGATGGCCATCCGCTCTTTTCAGCCAGATTCGATTGAGAATTGTCGAAGATTTTCAAGTCGACAGCCAGCACGCGTTCTTCTGTCGACGTCTCGTGATAGCCGCGGTAATGTATCTCTGGTCATTGGAGGTTTTGATGAGCTCTTCTTGGAGTCTAAGAAAAGCATTCTTCCCTTCACCATAGAGGAGTGGCATGTTGATTTGAGAATTCCAAGTAGACAATATGCAATGTCTTCTTGCCTGGTTGTTGTACGTTTGGAGGCCCATGACATCTTTTTAGCAATGCTTGCCCTATCCAAAATTCGAGATTTGAGGATGTACTCCCTTTCGATGCCGGTAACTGTTGATATCAGGTCAACCAGATCGACTTTGGTCCCAAGAGATCGCCAGTCATAGGAAAAAAACCGCATACGTATAGGAGTTAATAGTTCTTGAAGGGTCTAGCCTCTCTGAAACCAACGACTTACTTTGAAGGCCTCGTGTGAGAATTCTAGCTGTGGCCCAGAAATAACATCGCTAAGGTACACAAAGCAAATTTCTGACTTCTCGTACCAGCGGAACATGGAGTTGATAGCCTCGGAGAGCTCGGCGCTGCTTGTCTTGTCAATGCAGCAGGTATCCACCCAAACATGTTTCAAGTGCTGCCGGAGCGCTTCATCGCAGGTGTAGCGTATTTTCTTGAACCCAAGCTTTTGTTGAGCAGATAGCGGTTTGCATATCCTGGATTGTAACTTCATCCGGGCCCTAAGTATGTGATAAGATGGCGTATGGAGGAAGGTCGTCGTCGTTCGTGAACTGCTCCATTTTCATGGTCTCCGCCTGCAGCAATCTCATCCCCATGATGGGCAGAGGATGTGATATGATGAAAGAAGGGAAAGGGAAGCTTCATGACACAGGGGATTTGTTGGAAAAATGACTTTGGATTTGAATTGGAATGTTGGTGAAGGATCAAAAGGAAACATCGGACAGCCTCGCGGAGAAATTCACAGGCAGACACACCAGGCTGAAAAAAGGACGTCACATGTCTTGTTCATTTCCATCTTCATCACAACAGGGAGTCTCAATTTTTTACCTTTTGTGAGCGGATAACGGAGCTCGGATATGCTCCCTTGAAACAAGCAGACGCTGGATTAGAAGGAGGGGATATCGACGCGCGTGATCGAAGAAAGACACTGTCGCACGTGACCTGAGAATGCTCTCACGTGACGTTTTCCAAGACCAGCGGAAGCCGGGGCGGAAAACTGAAGTCTTGGCGCGAGCATCTCCTTCCCACGCCAAATCTTCCAACCTCAACCTCCACCTCTCCCACACTTCTTAACACCTTCCAAACGCGTCATATGGCTGTCGACAAGAGCCTCGCGCATTATCAAAAACGGTATCTCTCCAAGTGGCGGCCAACCCATTCGGTCCATATCCGTCGCTATCCTCCCTTCCAAGCCTCCAAGCCCGACCACAAGAGGCTTGGGTTGCAGTCCCCGTTACGCCCCGTGGTTGGTGTTGATACGCAGTGGGACCGATGGAAAGCGACGAGGGGGGAAGGCTGGAGCTCTCGTCGAACGACTCGAACCTCGTACTACTTTCTGTCCCCCTCACCTGTTTGCACCACCACAATATCGATGATTAAGCCTTGGAGCTGGACGTCTATAATTTAACACTGATAACGGGTCTGGACAAGAACCTGGGGTAAGGCGAAAGGCAGGGATGGCCTCTATTTCTATATGAGTCCTATTTCGCTTCTCTTTTCCTCCTTCCAACTTCACAGTCTCGTCTTTATGCATTTCAAAGTCAATAAACAGTGCAAAATTATTATATGTACAACGGCACTATCACTCCGAGCAAGACGCCGGCGCAGAACAAGCAGACGGCCACCTTCTTGTTACGTTCAAGCCTACAACGCTCCGCCCTTGGACCTCTTGGCCGCGACACTTCCCCGCGAACCACCAAGCCTCCAGCTCGGCGGGATGGGGCGAGCATGTTTGTTGGACAAGGAGCAGTCGCACCGCAGAGCCTTGGCACTTTCCCACGAGCCAAGCAAAATGCTCTATCTCCCCCACCAGAGAGAAGCATCCAAAGCGACCAGGACGTAGATATGCGTTTCTTGGTGGCACTCCAACAGAGCGGCTAGGATCCATGTTACCTTCCATCTCCAGAACGAGTGACCTTGGCGCGAAGGAGGCGAGGGCGAAGGACATGGTGAGGATTGAACTGCTATATAGTGTCTTCGTAGATCTTTCCACTGGGAGATGCTCGAGCGCAATCCCGTTTTCCTTTCCTTCCTTTCGTTGTTGAAACCGTTCTCTGTGACACCCTTGGCGCATCTCTCGAGCAGTCGCCGTCATGAGTTCTGGAGGCGCTGGGTTGGTTGATCTCGTCGAGGTCAACAAGTCTCATGTGCCACAACTGACTGCCGTCGATTCTGAAGAGGGAACTTCCTTCGACGAGAAGCAAGTTGCTGTCGATGGCGAAGCTGTCTCTGTTTCCGACTCGGATATCAGCTATGAGGACTTGAAGTCTTTGAGGCGCGTTGCTGGAAAGATTCCGTGGACCTCCTACACGATTGCCTTCGTCGAGTTCTGCGAGCGGTTAGTACTCGAGATTCGCGCAGTTGAAAGACAACATCTAACGCACTCCAGCTTCTCCTACTATGGCACAACCACCGTGTTCGTCAATTTCATCCAAAGGCCTCTGCCCGACGGATCCACCACCGGCGCCGGCCATGAAGGCCAGTCTGGTGCTTTGGATATGGGACAGCGAGCCTCGACCGGCTTGACGACATTCAACTCATTCTGGTCCTACATCATGCCTCTACTGGGCGCCTACATCGCTGATCAGGTATGCAAAAGCTGTCAGCCTGACCGCGCTCTTCAACTAACCATCCGCAGTACCTCGGACGATTCAAGACGATTCAGTGGTCCATCGCCGTCGCCCTCGTCGGCCACACCGTCCTAATCATCTCCGCCATTCCCCCAGTCATCCAACACCCCAGCGGCGCCATCGCATGTTTCTCCATCGGCCTTGTTATCATGGGCGTCGGCACTGGTGGCTTCAAATCCAACATCTCGCCCCTGATCGCCGAACAGTACACCGAGACGAAAATGAAAGTCACCACGACCAAGAAGGGCGAGCGCGTCATCACCGATCCGACTGCGACTTATGCTCGCATCTTCATGTGGTTTTACTTCATGATCAACTGCGGCTCCCTCGTTGGTCAGATCGGTATGGTCTACGCTGAGAAATACGTCGGTTTCTGGCTGTCGTACCTTCTTCCTACCATCATGTTCTGCTTGTGTCCCATGGTCCTTTACGCCTGCAAGAAGCACTACACGCTGAAGAAACCAACTGGCTCCGTTCTGGCCAAGGCCGTCAAACTGTGGAGTCTGGCGATGAAGCCGTGCTGGTCCTGGAATCCCGCCACGACCATCAGGAATGCCAGAAGCCCCGAGTTCTGGCAGCGCGTCAAGCCGAGCCACATGCAGACGAAGCCGGAATGGATGACTTTCGATGATGCGTGGGTCGATGAGGTTCGCCGTGGTTTCAAGGCCTGCACCGTGTTTTTGTGGTATCCCGTCTTCTGGCTCGCGTAAGCATGAACTTCAAAACTCGAGAGATACGCAAAGCTGACTTGTACGAAGATACAACCAAATGAACAACAATCTCACCAGCCAAGCCGCAACCATGGAACTCCACGGCGTCCCCAACGACCTAATCAAGTAAGTGTCCTCGCCCGCCCAACTCACTCACCCCCTTGGAGCCCCAACTAACCTCCCCATCAGCAACCTCAACCCCCTCTCCCTAATAATCTTCATCCCAATCTGCGACCGCTTCATCTACCCCGCCCTGCGCAAAGCCCACATCCGCTTCACGCCCCTCAAGCGCATCACAGGCGGTTTCTTCATGGGCGTCTGCGCCATGACCTGCGCCTGCGTGACCCAAGTCTACATCTACCGCATGTCGCCCTGCGGCAACCAGGCCAACGACTGCGAGACGCCCGCCCCCATCAATGTCTGGGTGCAAACCTTGCCGTACGTCTTTATCGCGTTCGGCGAGATCTTCGCCTCTATCACCGGGTTGGAGTATGCGTTTACAAAGGCGCCGCGGAATATGAGGAGTCTGGTGACGGCGGTGTATTTGTTCATGACGGCGTTGAGTAGTGCGGTGGGCCAGGCGCTGGTGGCGCTCAGTGAGGATCCGCTGTTGGTGTGGAATTACGGTGTTGTTGCCGTGTTGGCTTTTATTGCGGGTTTCGCGTTTTGGTTTACCCATCGCAAGCAGGATGCCATGGAGGATGAGTTGAATATGTTGCCTGAGAGTGATTTTACCGGGAGAGATGTGGCGGATGAGGAGAAGTAGGGTGGAGTAGAGTTAGGCAGGGCCGTGAAGGCGAGGGTGGTGTTGGTGGTATTGGATCGGATATAGAGCTTTTAATGCGGTATGATAACTGGAATCATGGTTCCTCGACATTTCATGGGTTGAGTCTTCCACGGATCCTTCTTGCGTGTTTCCAGGGATTTGTGAAATACGATTCGGATGATTCGGATGAAAACGTTCAGAGTGATATTCCAAGGATCGGCTTCTCGACGGCGACAACAGAACGGAAAAAATCCACGGGGAACAGGTTCTACTAGACGACACCAACAGCATTGTTTCCGAGATCTAGGAATGCTGATCTTACCACTTGCATTGGACAAGGACATGACTCGAAAATGCTAACCGCCTCTTCTGTGGTTGGATATCGCACATCGTCGTGATTTTCGCGCCCACTCTCCCCAAACATATGATGGATTACGCATTGGACGGATCAAAGTGACACATATTAGTCTGTCTACTGATGATGGGAATGGTTGAATTGACCAGAACGCGCATGTTGATAGAAGATTTGAAAAGTTTTATTGAAGTGAGGTGAGATGAGAAGATATGACGAAGAAATGGTCTTCTCATTTGAGGTGTACTGGCTGAAGTGAGTTGCTTGCAATTAGGAGTGTTAAAGTGAAGTGGAAAATGGATATCATTCTGTAGATAAGTTAGCTTCACGCGCTGATCGGAATAACAGAGTAAATAGGTTGAAGGTAACAAGACTAGTGAGGAAGGAGTAGCTGGTCTGTAGTGACATGTAAGTTGACTCGCTTTACGAGACTGGAGTGGCCCTGGGTGTCCTTCCTCTTGGTGACTTGCTTCAATTTTCCCAGACACTGGCTGCTTGACGCAGTCTGCAGCGGGATTCGTCCCAGTGATCTGTCTATTCGATGAGTCGCATCGATTTTGCCAGACATTGGCTGTTTGAAGCATCCGCATCGGTAGTATGGTTACATATGATACATTGAATCCAACTCCTGAAGACTCGTTCCGCTATGCATGGTATATGTGGGATCCCGTCGCTCGACCGTCTCATTCAGTTCTCGCAGATGCGCCTGGTGACCGCTGGCAACTCCCAGCCATCGACGCCGCCTCGGGGTATATTCCTTCACTTCTTCTTTGCATTTTCTGTCTTCCCACTGGCCTTGTTACTCGTGATTTTGGCCTCCTCCTTACTCAATGCATCTCGACTGGCAAATCCACTGATCATGTCAAACATTCCATCTTGTGGTTGCTGTTTCTCCGCAGCCTGTGCAACAAAAGTTAGCCAATTCCTCCCCGCATCTCCATCCTAAAACATACCCCTTCTTCCTCCTCAGCAGCCTCCGCAGCCTCCGCATCCCACCCCCTGCCAAACCTATTCCTAAACGCCTTCAACCTGCCCATCTCATCCTCCTCCACATTCAGCAGTTTCTGGCTGCTGGGATTCCACAAGGCATTGTTACGCGTGTCCTTTGTCGAGCGGTAGATGGGCATCGGTGAGGTGGTGCGGTGCAGGAAGGTGCTGCCGTCGCTGAGGGTGATGAGCTGGGTGAAGGTGTATGGCCGCTTTGGACGTTTGATGAGGGTCGCATGGCGGACTTGGGTGTGGGAGGGGAATTTGGGCGCGAACAGCGCCGGCCGGAGAGGACTCGGCGGGAGGAAGGCCATTGAATGGTTGAGAGGCTGAATGGGTGCGGATTGGAGGTTGGTGGACGTGTCGATGTGAATGGGATGGGAGGTTTGGCGGAGACTCGGAGGTGAGGATGGAAAACTGTCTTGGCGCTTGTTTTTTTGCTGGAGCTCTCCAACCTCACGTCGCCAGCTCCACACGCAATCCTCTGTCGTCCACCCCAATCCTCCCTCTCCATAGAGCCACCTTCAATTGAAAGGCATTCCCGCAGCCTCCCTGCTGGAATTGGCTTCTCAACAATGCCGGCGATATGGCCACAGATGTCGCTCGCTGCATCTGCGCGCCCGGCGCATCGCTGCTTGAGACCTTTCACTCGCCGGACCGCCATCAATCGTAGATATCTCCCTGTTGGCACCGCACTCTCAATACTGACCACACGGCAGATTTGTTGCAATCAAGTAGGCGTCTTTCGTCAACGCCTGCTCTGCACGACGACGATGCACCCTCACCTCCTCTCAACCAACGCGAGCTTCCCTCCCCGAGTCCAATCGACTCGCAGGTAGACGTGCCCTCCGCGACGAGTGGCCCCCTGCCCTGGTCAGAGAATGATAAACAGGCTCAGGCTCCTGTTATACGAAACATCACCAATCGGCCTCGTTCTCGAGGTAACCCTCCGCATATTTCACAAAGTACTCTAGACACATCAGAGTCCCTAAGCGACGAAGTCCGCTCCTTGATGCGGGCTATACCGCACCCTGTTGTTGTTATATCAGCCAGCTCACAACGAGGTGTTAGCCCACTGCTACACACTTTGGTCGCATCTTCGTTCAACACTGTCACCCTTATCCCTACCCCGGTGGTGTCGTTCAATGTTGCCCTTCCTTCGCGAACTATGGACGCCATTCGAGGCAACCGAGGCGAATTCCTTGTTCACTTTCCTGTTGCCTCTCCAAAGGGATCCGAAATAGCATCTATCTGCCTCAAACACAAGGAGCTAGGACTATGGGCGACCCTGAAACACGCTGGACATGCTGTGGTATGGAACAAATCCATCCGCCTGCATACTTTCCACGATCGACCGGAGAATACCACAGTCGTGCCAGCGGCTCTTCACTGTCGTCAGCTTGGTCAGCTCCCCGTGGGTGATCATGCCATCATCACCGCCGAGGTGCTCTCTGTTGAATGGCCTGAAAAGACTCCTTTTAATGGACTCATTTACGGTCAACAACATTTTGCGCGATGGGAAGTCCTCACGCCAAATGAAGAAAGCCCAAAAGAGACTACACGTTCCCAAACCGTACGCTCCAGCCCGCAATCAGAACCACTCAGATCCGGCCGCTCCAACCAGGCTGTGGATTTGACTTTGGGGGGCCTTGTCGATCCGGCTTTAGTGCCGTCTTCGCACGTCGAAGACATGGTGCACCGAACGGGCAGTCCGGACGCTGCCCAACACTGGGCATTGCTTGCGATACAAAATTGTGGTCTACCTTATTCCGGGCGCAAACCAGCACAGACTGATTTGAAAATGATGGCGAAAGACATTGTCGAAAGGACTGCCAAGACATCAATTGAGGAAGCTGTCCGTTTTGCAATTGCTTGTTCACAGCAGGCTCCAGCCAAGCGACACAAATTCGACTCCACATCTCCTTTCCATACTCAAATCGTTCTTGAATACGCCTCACATACAGTGGATCATCGCTATCCTGGCGAGCAGAACCAGCAGGTTCGCTCGGAAGCCTTGC